CCACATATGTGCATTGGTTAAGAACCAAAATTCTTCGATCAAGACAGTCTTTCAGACGACCTGGAGTTGCAATAATAATCTCTGCCCCATTCCTTAGGTTGAATGCTTGCTCCTCAACCGCATGCTATAAAATTTAAGTTGGTATTATTGCTAAAAATAAACTTTGATATTATAACAGGCTCTATTTCTTACCCCACCAACTATGGAAACACAATTGAATCCCATAGGTGCAGCAAATTTTAAAGTTTCTTGTTCTATTTGCTGTGCCAATTCACGTGTTGGAGCCAAAATTAAGGCATAAGGACCATCAGCCATATTCTCCTCACATAATTTAGGGAGTTCAGATATATACATAAGCATTGGAATAACGAAAGATGCGGTTTTACCAGTTCCTATCAAAAATGATGTTTTAGAAAATTATATCAAAAGCAATTTATAAACAGCATAAATAACTTACCAGTTTCCGCAATACCGATAATATCTCTATTTTGTAATCCAATCGGTATTGCTTGACGCTGTATAGGAGTAGGCTCTTTATAGCCAATATTTGCAAGAATTTCTAGAATACGTTCTGACAACCCAGGTTCTGACCATGATCTTATAGGATTTGGGATGCTACCACCTAAAGATTATAAGGTCAATTTAACTGTAATTTGACTTGTTAAGTTAGTCAACATAAACCATACCTTTTGTTGTTATATTAAAATCTTCCTTGAAAATACGCCAGTCTCTTTCTTTCATCTCGCTCAATGGTTTTTCAGACCAATGTCTGTCATCCCACATACTCTTCAATTCTTTCTTCCTATCAATTTCCATTCTTTCTCTATATTTCACAATAAAATTAGTACATTATAGAATGACAAAATATTTTACATCAATTAAATATTTACTCTGCACGATCTTTTTGATCCAATGTTCTTCTTTCTTCTAATAATTGATTATAAAATTGTGCACGATTTCGTTTTTGCTCTTTTATATCAATGCCCGCGAAATGGCCACGTCCAAACATTTGAGCATTATGTCTACTTGCATACAAAGGATTGAAATCTTGCGAAGTATCTTCACCAGCATCCCAATCAAAAACAAATTTTTTCTCATTCATCTTTCGTATTTTGCGTTTTTTACGTTCGCCACCCATATAACGTTCCTATTTGTAATACAGTTATATTTAGCACTCTCGACTGATAGTAATTACAAGCGAATTCACGCCGTAACACGAGTCTGATTACATACTCGTATTGCCTGTAATTCTTTCTCATCTAATTTATCTTTTTCCTCATTGAGATCAGACTTATCAGTGGAGCGTTTGTCACCACTATCACGATCTCTTCCCTTTGTTCGATCACGATCATATCTATCAAATCTATCACGATCATAACGATCATAATAATCTCGTCTATCGCGACCATATCCTGAATCCGAAAAAATATAAGCGTTACTAAATAAAAGTTTTTTTTTTTTACAAATTATAAATATTACCGTTTTGCCGAGCTTCTTCCATTGCACGTCTTTGGAATTCTTCTTGCTGACGTCTTTCTTCATCTTGTTTTTGACGTAATAATTCAACCTCCTTTTGTCGTTCCTCCAGTGCTATTCTTGCTCTTTCCTCTTTTGACAAAAATTTTGGCTATAAAGACATATAAAAACGTGTAATTTCAAATATATATATTAGTCACTATAAACTTCATAAACAAATTTAATGGCTATAAGTAAAAGTGAATTAATGTAACAAGCTTCTATTCAAACAATATAGAAACAAGATTTACAAACTCTATCATTTGCTTGTTTTTCAGTCTCACGTTTTTGTAGTAATTCTTCCAGAGAAATTGGAACTTTTGGTTTTTGATTAAGGTTCGAATCTTTTACAGTTTCAGAATCAGGTGGTTTTTCAGGCTGCTGACTTTTCTGCTGTATATCATTTCCGCTATCGCGAGTCTCATGGTGAGGCTTTTCGCTCCTTGCTGAACTCCGATATGATGGTTCTGTATATTCGGAGTTCCTGCGACCTTCTCGTTCATATTCTCGACTATATCGGTGGCGATGAGTAACTTCTTCGCGGTGACGATCGCCACTATGAGGTGAACGAGATCGGTATCTTCTAGAGCTTGAAAAAAAAAATTGGAGTATAATTTATAAGAAATAAATACTTTAAGGCTTAAAATACGAAAGGTTATGAGTCACTTACTTTCTAGATCTTTCAGTATACATGTTTTAAAATTAACAACTCGAAAATGTTCAGAAGAAATTACTATTACTATATTCTATATATACTGTATATTCTATTCATGTGATGCAACTTATGATTAACCGCTTAAAAATTCCAGTTGAACCGGTTAGGGTAGCCGACTGTCCGCTAAAATGAGATTCTACTTGAACAATCGCGGACGAAATTATTCGAATGTAGTTTTTTTTTCAAACTTTTAATAGGTATTTTAGTTTAACATTTGCATAGAATCGAAATAAAAAATAAGATCATCAATTTTAGATAGGTGTCGAGATATCTTTATTCAAAGTTTAAAAAAAAACTTTACTACAGTTTGTTTATTTTTTAAACTTTGAACGAAAATATCTTATTGTAATAATAAAATATTTCATCGATTTTAGATAGGTTGTTGTCGAGATACTCAAAGTTTGAAAAAACTTTGCTACAACTTTATCAATTTTTTTTATTTTAATTATATAGGCATATAGAATCGAATAAAAAAATTTTCATTGATTTTGGATATGTGA